GCATGATACCGAAGATTGCTACAGGCTGAAGAAGGAGATCGAGGAGGATCTTAAGGCGGGTAAGTTTCAAGATTGTATCCAGAAGGGATCTCAGGAAAAAGCGCCAGGCCAACCCAAGAACCGGAGGTGGAAGAAAAACAAGGCTAAGGCCGCCAATCAAGTCCCCGTCGGGGACGGAGCCAAAGCTCAGGACGGGTATCGATCCGGCGCAGGCACGGCAGATTTTGGCCGCTCCCATGGGTGCTATCTATGGGGCGCCCCTGGGGGTCCAGAGTGTTTGCGCTCTACGCTGGAGTTCGCACCCTCGACCGCCGGATGAGTCCGCCCCGGGGAGGTGATATCCTTCTCAGAGCAGGATTTGGTATGTGGATCCGAAGATTATTCCGACGCGTTGGTCATCACGGTCATAGTCGCCAGCCGGGAAGTTCGGCGCGTATACGTTGATAATGGCAGTGCAGTGGATGTCATGTATGGTGATTGTATTCAGAAGTTGGGCCTAGACAAGACTCAGCTCCGCCCTGCGTCCATACCTTTGGTCGGATTTTCTAACCACGTGATAATGCAGCTAGGCATAATCAGCTTGGCTGTTATCGTAGGGACTTATCACAAGGATCGAGTAATTCTCGTCAACTTTGCAGTGGTGGACGTCGTGGCCCCTTTCAATATCATTATGGGGCGGCCCTGGATGAGTCAGGCGAAGGCCATTTACTCGCCATATCATTTGGTCATGAAGTTTCCGACCGAGGCTGGGATTGCGGAAGTTCGGGGTGATCAACAATTGGCGCGACAGTGCATGGTGATCGCCGCAAAGAAAGGGCGTGATTTTCTCCGGGGAGGGGCAACCGTCGGGTCCGTCCAGGAGGCCCTGATCTCCGAAGACGAGGACCAAACTCTGGTCCGGTGGATGACGAGGTCACGGATGTAGCCTTGAATCCTTTTGTAGAAGGAAGGGTTATTAGCTTAGGAGCTGTTTTGCCCCTCAGTCTTCGGGACATGGTTGTTGAATTGTTGAAGCAGTTCGAAGACATCTTCGCGTGGAGTCCCAGCGACATGACAGGGATACCTCCCGAATTAGGCGTGCATAAACTGAATGTAGACCCTAGTGTGCGGCCCATACAGCAGAGGAGGCGGAGCCAATGCCGCTATCGATGTGGAAGTTACGAAGCTGTTGGCCACTTCCATCCTCAAGGAAATCTTCTATCCCATGTGGTTGGCCAATCCGGTCATGGTCAAGAAACCCGACTCTTCTTGGCGAATGTGTGTGGATTATAAGGATCTCAATAAACACTATCCTAAGGATTGCTATCCTCTTCTGGCAATCGAGCAGAAGGTCGATGCTATCTCGGGATACCCGGTGCTTAGCTTTCTGGACGCGTACAAAGGGTACCACCAGATCCTGATGCACGAGGGTGATGCAGAAAAGACGGCTTTCGTCACTGAAAAGGGGGTGTTCTGCTATGTGAAAATGCCCTTCGGTCTAAAGAACGCGGGTGCCACATACCAACGTGTGGCCAATCGTGTCTTTGGGGACCAGCTGGGAAGAAATATAGAGGTCTACATGGACGACATGGTGGTGAAAAGTCGTTGGATTGACCTTGTTGTCAATGACCTCCAGGAGACCTTCCGGACCCTCAGAGCGGCTAATATGAAGTTGAACCCAAAAAAATGTGTGTTCTGCGTCGGATTAGGAAAATTTTTAGGTTACTAGATTTCTCGGAGAGGGATCGATGTGGACCCTTCAAAGATTCAAGCCATCCTGGAAATGCAACCTCCGCGGTCCATCAAAGAAATACAAAGGCTTACAGGCTCTATTGCCGCCCTGGGGCGCTTTCTGTCGAACTCGGCCAAACGGAGCTTGCCATTTTTTCAGGTTCTCAAGAAGTCCGATACCTTCGGCTGGACCGAGACTTGTCAGAAAGCCTTCATGGACCTAAAAGAACACTTGAGGACTCTCCCGACCCTGAGCACACCGGACCCGGGGGAAACTCTGATTCTGTACTTAGCCGTGGGGGAGTCCATGGTGAGTGCAGCCTTGGTGCGGGAACATAAGGGAAAGCAGATCCCTGTTTATTATGTTAGTAAGGTCCTCCTTCCCGCCGAGTCTCGGTACACTCCTGCTGAGAAGTTGATTTTTTGCCTCATGACCGCGGCCCGGAAGTTACGTCCCTATTTCCAGGCGCACCCGATCTTTGCTCTTACAGATCAGCCCCTACAGCAGATCCTCGCAAAGGTCCGACACGTCGGGCAGGATAACTAAGTGGGCTGTGGGACTCGGGGAGCACGACATAGAATTTCGACCCCAGACCTCCATCAAGGGCCAAGCCTTGGCCGATTTCCTTGTCGAAGTCCCTCGGGGGATGGAAGCCGAGGATAGTGAATGTTGTCAAGTCCCTGAGAGATCTTCCCCCACCAGACCGCAACTGTGGGCTTTGTTCGTCGACGGATCTTCCTCTAAAGAAGGTTCGGGCGCGGGCGTAGTTCTGATCGATCCCCATGGGTCGAAAATTGTTTATGCTATCCAGCTGGATTTTCCTACCACAAATAATGAGGCTGAATATGAAGCACTGATCGCGGGGCTATCTGTCGCCCTCGCGCTCGGTGTTCAGGAAATCTCAGTTTGCAGTGATTCTCTGGTGGTCGTCAATCACGTCCTTCAGCTGTACGAGGTTCGGGAGGTGGTTCTCCAAAAGTATCTTCGGAAAGTCAAGTTGCTGGAACGCAGCTTTCATGTTTTCTACATTTAGTATATCCCGGGGTCACAAAACAAGAGGGCTGATGCCTTGAGCAAGTTAGATTCTTCCCGGGCTGTGCATCTGACCCAGTAAATTCACATGGAAGTCAGAACGCTTCCGAGTATTCTGGACGAAGAAGTCTTGCCTGTGACGATAGACGAGGTATCTTGGATGACACCCTTTGTCCAGTACCTCCAAACCGGGACACTACTCGCGGACCCAAGGGAGGCCCGGAAGATTCGACTCAAGGCGCCTAAGTACTTGATGAGGGATGGCATCCTCTACAAGCGAGGGTACCTAACACCCTTGCTGCGCTGTGTCGGGCCGCAGGAAGTGGAGACGTTGATCAAGAACATGCACGAAGGTGCTTGTGGGGCTCATTTAGGTTCACGTAACCTGGCCAAGAAGCTGATCCGCGCCAGATATTACTGGCCTACTCTGTCCCAGGAATGCTATAACATTGTCCTTCGGTGCGCACAATGCCAAAAGCATGCCCCTATTCCGCGTCTACCCCAACATGAGATGGTCCCAATTGGCAGCCCGTGGCCTTTCTACAAGTGGGGAACGGACATAATAGGGCCTTTCACATTGGCCCCGGGTAAGCTCAAGTTCGTGATCGTCGCAATTGACTAATTTTCTAAATGAGTCGAAGCGGAACCTCTGGCCTCCATCACAGGGGCAAACGTGGCCAAATTCTTCTGGAAGAACGTTGTCTGCCGATTCAGGATTCCGAAGATCCTTATATCAGACAACGGAACACAGTTTGAATCGGGAGTTTTTAAATGTTGGTGTGAGCAGCTTGGGATCGAACTGCGATTCTCATCCATGGCCCATCCTCAAGCCAACGGGTTGGCTGAAAATATAAATAAGGTCATCTTGCAGGGCATGAAGACACGGGTCAAGAGAGCGAGGGGCTGTGGCCTGAGGAATTGGCCCACGTCCTGTGGGCCATTCACACTACCATGAAAACGACCATGGGAGCAACCCCTTTTAGCCTCGTCTATGGCATGGAGGCCGTTCTCCCAGCTGAAATAGAGGTGCCCAGTCCCCAGGTGGTCAACTTTGCGGAGGAAATGAACGAAGATAAAATCCGTCTTTGCTTTGATTTTCTGGATGAAAGGCGAGATCTGGCCAAAGCCCGCGAAGCTAAATACAAGCAACTCACGTCCAAGTACTACAATGCCAAGGTCCGGGCTCGGAACTTTGAAGTCGGAGACCTGGTCCTCCAACGAAACGAGGCGAGCCACGCAGAACCGACCGGAAAGCTAGCTCCAAATTGGGAAGGACCATACAAGGTTGTGGAAGTTTCTCCCTCAAGGGGTTATTGCCTACGCACATGTGACGACGAGCCTCGCGACATTCCCCGGTGGAACATCCAGAACCTTAGGAAGTTCAATATTTGAAGGCTTCTGCCACTTTTGTAATTGACATAGCCAAGCAGGAGAACTCCAACACTTTTGTTGTTAATATACTACTTCCTGTGCCTTTGTAAGAATCCCATCCTTCCTGAAGCCGTCTCGACCCCAGTGGCCGACGGCACCGTGTGGCCTCCACAGCCTACGGAACCCCTCTGGTCTCCGTGACCTTGGGGCATTTACAGAGCCGTCTCGACCCCAGTGGCCGACGGCACCGTGTGGCCTCCCGGCCTACAGAACCCCTATGGTCTCCGTGACCTTGGGGCATTTACAGAGCCTTCTCGACCTCAGTGGCCGACGGCACCGTGTGGCCTCCGCGGCTTACGGAACCCCTCCGGTCTCCGTGGCCTTGTGGCATTTACAAAGCCGTCTCGACCCCAGTGGCCGACGGTACCGTGTGGCCTCCGCGGCCTACGGAACCCCTACGGTCTCCGTGACCTTAGGGCATTTACAAAGCCGTCCCGACCCCAGTGGCCGACGGCATCTAGCAAATCCCGCGGCAACGAAATTCCTGTAGTTCCCGCGGCCCCTTACCAGATACAGTTTAACTAACCATCGACTGAATTATCGCAACCTTAGTAATACAGTTGAAATGTAAAATCCGAGGAAGATACTCATATTACCTCCGTCGGATCGTAGCAAAGAGCGTCGGCAATACACAACATTTTATATATACAACCGTAAAAGCTTGAATAATAATAAAACAAACAAATGAGGAAAAGCAAAACAAAAAGTCGATGTTCAAAAAGGACGAATCAATTATATATGTGTGAATTTTCAAAGGTATGGCCCTCGGATCTATACACTTGGCAAAAACACACCAAAAATTACCTAACAACCTAATTACATATCTCTAGTGAGACCCTCGATCTAACTCGTGAAACAGAGCGTCGTTCTCATATATCAGGCGTTCGGCTTCGCGAGTTGGAGAAGCGGGGTCGTCTCGCATGGCCGGACAGGGCTCAGGCCACAATGCCTCAAAATCGTACTCCTTCCCCGTCTCTACAATAAAAGATATCGCACTTTCCAAAGCCGCCCGAAGCTGACCAGCATACACTTGAAGAGCCTCGATTTTGTCAGAAGACCGGTCCCACTTAACGGCGACCAAGGCATAGGCCTTTCGGAGATGTACCAAGACGCTCTCAAAATAGTTGCGGGGAATAAAATCCTCTGGGTCCGGTTCGGACAAGCCTTCGTCCTTCTTTTTCTTCCGTATCTTGGCTTCGAATGTCCGAAGGCGATTGTTGGCCAATATCTCTAACTGTATAGAGTTCTTCAGATGGTCCTCCCAGTAGGCCTCCGTGTCTCTCCATAACTTATCCAGCCGGTCGTTTTCGGCCTTCGCCTCTATTACGGCCTTGTGTGCCTCGTGTAGCTCCGATGCCCTGTAAGTTCCCAAGGCCTCCTCTAGCTAGCCCTCGAGACCCGACAGTCATCCTCGGCTCCTGTTGACGGTCGGATCTACCAAAGCGCCTCCGACAGCCGCATACAGGGGAAAGGTCATCGGATCGTAATAAGGGTCGGGCAATTGCAGGTCGATCCAGGGAATCCCGGATGTTTCCCAATGACCTGGAGTCGCGGGCATGCCTTGAGAGGCTCCCTCGGGCTGATGAGGGAAGTTCGAAGCCGTGTCCTTCCCCTGAAAAGAAGCGCGTGTTAACGGGAAGGTTAGGGGACGCGGGCTAGGAAGAACCCTTAGACGTAAAAATAAAATTGAGCCGACGGACAAAGACATCAAGAAACAAGTAACAACAAACAAGTGAAGTCGGTCGTAAATAAAATGGAAAGTCATTAATATTCGGTTAAAAGAGTTACAACAGGGAGAAGACAGAAGACAGGTGATCACTATGATGAGTCCTAACCCTACGCATCGTTCACCTTGTCTTCGTTGTTAGTGTTGGAGTCGGTTGAGGTGCCCCTCCCCTCCGCGGCTTCCAGAGTTATTCCCTTGGGGGGTGGTGCGGGTCCAACTGTCTCCGGCTCTTCGTTGGGTCCCGGCGGCGTGCTCGGGGGTGTTTGAGTTCCCGTCGGCATCTGAAAGACGAAGGAAGGGCTGCCCGGGATATTCAGGATGTCTTCGGGCTTAGAAACGGAGGGGCAGGTCTCGGCGATCTGTTGCATGATGGGGAGCTGTGCGAAGTCCATGTCCCGAAAGTGCTTCCGTGCCTTGGCACCGCAGCATTACCACGGACGTCTTTCCCTTCATCTCCCTATCCGCGTACTTATCGAGGATGGGTTGGATGTCCTCGTTCTTCCTCCGGGCCGCCTCTATCTCCATGACGACCTTCCTCGGCCCTCTTTCCATGGCCGGGTCCATGACATCGTTTATGCCGAGGGTGAATTCGGACGACCCCAAATACCTTTGTACTCCCGCGAGGATGTACGCGTCCAGGCGGGATTTGGGGACGCTTGTTGCCAGGAGACTCTCCATTTGGAGACTGTGGGTCAGTTCCATGCCTTCGAGCTACCCCCTCATTCTCGTGATGTCCTCCTCCAATTGTCTCCTCTCCTCTTCTAGGGCCTGGAGCCGCGTCTCCGCCTCTCTGGCTTTGCCGGCCTCACTAGCGGCCTTCCTTCTGGCCGAAGCCAGCTGTCCCTCCAAGTCCGCGCACATAGTCACGAAGGAGTTCACTGCCTGCACATCCTGCATGACATGGATATCCTTGATCAGTAAGGGAACCCTCCGAATGCGAGAAGCAAGTACTTAGGAAGAAAAGTTTACCTGTCTCATGCCGTCCTCCAGTCACGGCACTCCAGCGGCGGGCAAGCCCGCACATTCGACCCGTGGAGGGTCGAACGTGAGTAGAGCGTGACCCTTGGGTACGCCCTCGAACTGGCCCGTCCCTCGCCCGTGATCCTCGTACCCCTCCTTCAAAAGTTCGTCGATGGAGGATAGCTCGTGAATCGCGGGCAGACTGAAAGACAGAGGATTGACCTCCACCACCTCAGGATCGCCTCGCTTTCTTTTCTGATGGCCCGAGGTTTGGCCTGAGGGGTTCCTCTTCCTTGAACTCTTTGCACGCACCCTCGTCATCTGACCGGAGGGCGCTTGTCCCATTTCCGGTTGGGGAGTTCCTTGCGGCCCCTCCTCGGGATACTGCTCCTCCTCGTCTGAATCATCAAAAGCCGAACGTTTACCCAACAGATTAGCAAATATACCTATCAACAGAAAATAACCCAAGTTAGTCTTCGGGTAAAATACCTTGGTTACGGGAGCTGATCGTATCGCTCAACGACGCGATTTGCCTATAGGTGTAGGTCTTCATCCACCTGACTAGTTTCTCTAAGTCCCCTCTTCCGGCCTCCATATCTTTCTTATCCTTCTTGGTCCACGGATCTAAGCTGGTCGCCCCTCCCTCGTCCAGCGTCCACGGAAAAAGGTCAACGAAGTCCGCGTCCACGTAAAAGAAGCCCGACCTCCAATGCTTAGAACTCTCGTTCTTTGCCACTAATTCTTTGGAAGGCCCGTGTGGATTTTTGGTGAAGCTAAACCACCCGGGAAAACTCTTCCCGCATCGGACGAGCTTGTAAAAACATCTAAACAAGAAGATGTCCGGCTCTACCCCCGTCTTGTTACATACGTGTACGAAGGCCAAGACGATGGTTATGAGGTTCGGGGTGTATTGGGCTAGGGGTCGGCCGTAGGCTTCCACTATCATTCTAAACATGGGCATAAGGGAGAAGTGTAGCCCGTATTCCAAAAACTTCTCATAAATTGTAATTTTCCCCGGAGGGGGAGTACTGGCTCTCTCATTGCTTTCTGGTAGGGTGGGGTTGATAGCCGTAAGGCTATAGTGATTTTCTAAATCACTTAACCTACCTTGGTTTAACGAACATTCGACGTCCTCTACCCTAACTACTTCTTTAGCCATACCGTAATTCGAATGTACAAAAGAAGGTGGAAACTTACTCGTTAACGGTCGATTAGAAACCGTAGTGGTCAGTCGCCGGCTGTGATTCCGATGCCCGAACGGAAATGCTGCTCTGATTTGCAAAAAAAGAGAAGAAAATCGAAGCTCTGTATGTTTGAAACTTGAGAGCAAAGGGGAGAAAAATGATTTCCGGCGTCCTGTGGGGGGGTTATATACTCCAAAGGAGATGAGCAGTCCCCTCGGTTTTCCTTCCAGCGCCATCATTGCGGCGCGGCCTCCCATGAAATCCCACGCGTCCATCACGTTTGGGCAGGAAGAACCCAGGGCCGTTGGATCTAGGGCGGTCATAAGATGGAAGATTCCAGAAGCTGGACTGGTGTATTGGGCCTGCAATTCCTTTGTGTCAAGCCCAATCCAGCTTTGCCGCAATGGGCTTGACAGGGGCACTTGTTGGGGGGTCAACTTTGACCCACTTTGACCGGTCCAACTGGACATCCTACTTGGGGCTTGTCTTGTAAGCCCAAGTAGCCCATTTATTCCTTCCAAAAGGCCCAGCCGAATTATAAGGAATAAACCTTTGTTTATTTATGCTTTTGCCCCTCCCAACACGGGGGCGCACAGGTATTGTCCCTGGAACCTATAAATACTTCTGCTCATTTATTGCTAATTCAATTCCACACTATCGTTTCTCTCTCTAAGTGTGATAATTGCCTACTTCTCTCCCTAGAACTGACTTAATCTTCGGAGTGCTAACCTCCGTCTTGCAGGTTCTTGTCTAGGTCGGACCGTTGACTCTCCACCCCCGGGATTCACTCTCGACATCAACTAAGCAAGTTATAATAAAACTCAAACAACTTATAGTACAGTTACTTCAACTGGAAACAAATAATTTGAAGTACTATTATCAAGTGATATGAACCTTCGGAATTGAAACGGGTATCAAATTTCTCATTCAATTTTTGTTTATTCGGCTTCGATACCCTATGGTTGGTGGATATTGTTGAAAATAAAGCTAATTATAGGGGTAAATGAGAAATTAGTTTCTCATGTGATTAGAATTGTTAGAATATGACTCATGTGTAGGTATGCATACGAAACACCGTACTGTAACTTGCGTACCTGATCAACCTGTGTTTTACCAACGGTTTCAGTTTTCTAATCCACTGAGTGGGTAGTTATGGACAATCAAATTGGAATATTAAACAATTCATTCATTTCCCAAAACTTGAAATTGTTTTTATATTAATCTACTATTTATATTTTCATTATTAGGGGAATGAATAAATGTTTTTAAGTCAATTAAATCGGCAGTCATGTTTTTAGTTTTTTCTTCCCTATAAATAAAAGCTTATTTTCCAGAAGTCCAAAGAACCAAGAAAAATGACCAAACTTTCTTCATTCTTTCATTAACCAAAATCCTTTTAACCTTCTTTGGTGTTTATCGAAGTTCTAGTTTCAGTTCGCCGGTGATTTTGTCTAAAGTACAAGACTAAGGATGTGTTTGCATGGTAGGTTTCGGAATGGGGAATGGTATAAATCCAGTTTTTGATGTTTAGCTGACGAGTTTAAAATCGGCAAGAATGGATTGAGACCCAATTATTTAGGAACCTTCTAAACCCACCAGGAGGTCAGGTTTTGATCTGATTACTGTTTTTGCAATCTCTTTTTTCAACTCTTTGTTTTTTCATGGTAATATTTTATTTTATTTTTAAATAGATGAACCCAGCGAGAATCGAATCCTCGACCTCCTTGGAATAACCATCCCTCATCCTAATCCCTTAACCACCCCAGCCAACCCTCCCATCCCCTTCTCATGGTACTATATTGTGCATAAATTTATTATTATATCATGCAAATAATTTTTTATTAATTATAAAGTCAAGTTTTTATTTGAAAATTTTTAGTCAAATTTAAATTACGAATATTATTAGATAAAAATTTAAATTAATTAACATATGATTCGAATTGAGATTGAAATCTAAAATATGTGTACTGCATTAAATTTGATCTGAAATAAGAGCTATTGGGACTCAATGAAACTAATTTGTTTTTTTTTTAAAAAAAATCATAATCTCAAGTATTCTAATTGATTTTATAAAAAGATTTATTAAATTTTTAAAATTATAGTAGTTAATTTTTGTACCATTAATTTAATAAATTAAATGATGCCTCAATCTTTTTTGTTCTTTTTATTTTTCTCTTGAAAGGGATCAATAATGGTTCCCCACTTACTTCTGGTATGAGTCAAACCCATGACCTATTGGAAACAGGGGAAGCGACTTTCCACACGTTGCACCTCATTGTCAAAAATGATACCTCAATCTAATTATAAACCAAACAAATACAGATAGTAACAGTTTCCTGTTATCATACGTAACCTTACATTAAAACTCATGAACAAACCAAACACCCCCTAAGATCACGTTATTTGTTGTATCCAGAGAAACAAATGTTCTTCCATCCTCTAGCAATCTGTGAGAGAGAGCGAATTTATTTTAAAGAAAATGTATTTTCACGTGCCACAGAATTCCTTCGTTCATGAATTCTTGTTGTCAATAAAAATACCTCCCTATACTTTTACCTACAATCTTACAATAGAATCGTTGGTATTTTGTGATGACAACTAAAATAGTTCTTAAACCATTAAAAGGTTCAAATGATGAAATGCAAGACCTATGGTGAGGATCAAAGTAAGATTAGCAGGAAAATTGATAGGATGTGTATTTTAGGTAACCCTAAATAGGGTTTCTGTAGACGGCTAGGGTTTATGTAAATCATGACTATATATATTGTACTACATATATGTGAATACACAGAAAAATTAATCCTTTCATGGTATCAGCCATTCCCTCCTGGCTTTTCATTTTTTAGGCTTTCTACCGCTGCCTCTTTTACGAGCGTCTACCTCTTAAATAGGTTGCCCACTAAATCTAAAAATGGTGTTGTTCCCTTTGCTCTTTTGTTTGGTCGCTCCCCAAATTATGGCGACCTTAGGGTTTTTGGTTGTTCCTGTTTTCCCAATCTCTCTCACTTATCCTCTCATAAATTCAGTCCTTGATCTGTTCCATGTGTCTTTCTCGGTTACCCTGAATCCTACAAGGGTTATCGTTGTTTTGATCCGGTCTCTCAGAAAGTCTATATATCCCGTCATGTCATCTTTGATGAAACATCGTTTCCTTTCCCTTCGTTGTCTTCCCCGGTTCCACATAATCTTCCCACATCCTCACAGTTCAAACCTCCTTCCTTTCTCATTCCAAAAACCCTTCCGCAAAAAGTGCCTTCTTCTCCACGTTCGTTTCAGACGTCTGTTTCTATGTCCCCTCTACCTAGTGTCACACCTCCGTCTAACAAATCAGTTTTGACCTCCTCTGTCCCCCCACCTCATCCTATGGTCACTCGAAATAGGGATGACCCTCGTGAACCTAAACACATTGTCTCTCTTGCTGGTACTACCACCTCTCTTCCCATAGAACTCATTCTTTCACGGAAGCAAATAAATACCCTGAATGGCGTGCAGCCATGAGTGATGAATATAATGATCTTATTTCAAATCACACATGAGATTTAGTCCCGCCTCCTATCTCCGCAAATGTAATTGGTTCTAAATGGATTTTTCGTGTTAAACTCAAGTCTGATGGCTCTCTTGATCGTTGTAAAGCACGTTTGGTCACTCAGGGTTATAATAAAAAACTTGGCATTGATTTTGATCAAACGTTCAGTCTCGTGGTTAAACCAGTGACAATTAGGACTTTCCTAAGTATTGCTGCTTCTCGTAAGTGGCCTATTCATCAGTTGGATGTTAAAATTACTTTTTTTGCATGGTCATCTAAATGAAATTGTCTACATGAAACAGCCTACTAGTTTTATTCATCCAGACCATCCTCACTATGTCTGTCGCTTGAACAAGGCTCTTTATGGCTTAAAGCAGGCTCCTCGGGCTTGGTTTCACCGGTTCACTACATTTTTGCTTGCACAGGGTTTCAAAGCTAGTCGTTCTGATTCTTTTATGTTTGTTTATTCTGCGGGTTCGGATATGGCTGTGTTGTTATTGTATGTGGATGACATCCTTTTAATACCTCAGTTATCGTCTTCTTACCAATCTTGTTCAGTCTATGAAAGGTGCTTTTGCCATGACTGATCTTGGTCCTATCAGTTACTTTCTGGGTGTCTCTGTCTCTCTACAGTCTAATGATTAGTTTTTGCATCAACGCAAGTATGCTGAGGAATTATTGTCTCGCAGTCATCTCATGGATGCTAACCCTGTTGCTACTCCCCTGGGTCCGGCTTTTCAGTTTTCTGTGGAAGAATCCCCACCTTTTCACAATCCAACTCTTGATCAGAGTTTGGTGGGTGCTCTACAATACCTCACTTTCACTCGTCTGGATATCCAGTATGCGGTAAATCTTGTCTGTCAGTATATGCATGATCCTCGAGAA